TGTTATCTAGAAAAACTTGAGCCAAACGAGCAAAATGCTTGCTTCCACAGACGAGGAATTGAAGAAATCTCAATATGCCATGAAGGAGAAAGATTTCATAATTTCCGAGCAGAGAAAATCTGGTATTTATTCCATATCGCTACTCTAGGTAAGTGATTTAAAATTGTTTTCCTAACATGCTTCTCCGTATTGCCAGAAAATATACTGGTTCAACAAGCTTGTACTTTACAATCCAACTTGGAGAAAGCTACCAAAGAAAATGCTTCATTACACCAAAAAATCGGTATGGGATTTTACTATTTTGACTGTCTTTTCACTAGGAATATCATAAGAACTGTTAGTATATGATCTATTTGGTGTTGTGCAGGAAGAGGGGACAAGCTCAGTGCAGATAACAGAAACGTGGTCGACACTTTTCAAGCAGAACTTTCTGAACAAATTTCGAATTTGTTCAATATGGTTGCTTCATGTCTATCCCAACAAAACGCACACCTTCAGGGTGTTAACAAACTGTCCCAAACTCGCTTAGAGGCACACAACAAGGTATCTACTGTTTTATTCTTTGGTTGTCTCTATTATCTTTTCAAGGGCTTTCTAACACTATTTGCAAATTTGATTTCCAGGCCATTCTCGAAATGAAAAAGAAGGTTCGAGCGTCTAGAAATATATATAGTTCCCACTTGGAGGCAGTGCAGAATGTAGTACGCTTGCACAAGGCAAACTCGAATGCTTGCCTTGAGGAAGTTTCAGCATTGACGACTTCAAGTGCATCTTCCATTGATGAGGCATGCCTTTGTTAATTTCTTTCCTTTTCTTATGGTGACTAATGGCTTGTTCTAAATGTAGCTGTCTTGTGGATTTCAGTTTCTTGCTTCAGGAAGTGAGACAACATCTTCTTTATTTGATGAACTTCAGAACGCTCTTACATCCCACCAGGGTGAAATGGCTCTCTTTGCTAGGGAACTGAGACAGGTTAGTGCTCCGAGAAATAACAAACATTTTGTTAACTTATACATCGGCCTTGGAAATTACAAAAACTGTAAGCTGGATTGTTTTCCTAATTCGCAGAAGTTCCACACAACGATGGAGCAAACACAGGAGATGTCTGAATACACAAGTACGTTCTTCCAGAAGCTTATGCAAGAGTCCAAAAATGCCGAGAGTCGTGCTGCAGAGGCAAATGATAGTCAAATAAACAGCATTATCGAATTCCAGAAGACTTACGAGGTCATAATACTACATCTCTTCAAGTTTGGTGTTTAAAATGTTTGCTTGAGCCCATCTATAACTAGCATGTGCTGTGCAGGCTCAGTCAAAATCTGACACAGAGAAACTTATAGCGGATCTAACTAGCCTCGTCTCAAGTCACGTTCGTCGCCAACACGAATTGGTTCGTTGCCTCTTCTTCCATTTGTCTCTTTGTCTTCCACTTCATTGTATTTAAAAACTTGTCTTTCTTCCTGGCAGGTGGATTCAAGACTCCATAACTTTAAAGGCGCCGTCTCTTCCAACAAAACTTTCATGGATGAACACGTCTCAGCCGTTAATAGTCTAGCTAAAGACGCAAAAAGAAAATGGGAGACGTTTGCTATGCAAGCTGAGAATGACGCCAAAGAAGGTGCTGATTTCTCGGCTGCAAAACATTGTCGAATGGAGTTACTGCTTCAGCAATCGTAAGATCATTACTATGGTTTTCCTATTCCTTTGATTTACAATCTTTCAGTTAATGTATTTTAACCTTTTTTTTCCATCTTTCTATGCGTTAGTGTGGGACATGCGGAATCAGCTTTTAAACACTGCAAGACGACTCATGAATCTTTAAAGGAGATGAACAGTAAGCAAGTCGCAGATGTCTCTTCACTTGTTAAGTCTGCTTGTGATAATAACGAGGAGCACGACACGGAAGTAGATTCTGCAAGGACTGAGGCTGAGAAAGATGCAACCAAGAACAGTGATGAGATGATCCAGCATATCGATCGTGAGCTCTCTTTCTTACCCATGAATGTTCCTCTGTTTAAAAGACATCTCTTAGGTCTAAATTGATATCGTTGTGGATCTTTCAGGCATGTCAGAGGACGAGAAAGTGTCTGTATCTCAAATCTTGGAGAATGTTAAGACACATGAAAAAGCTCTTGAACGTTTCCAACAGGATCATTGTTGCCATGCCAGATGTATTGAGGATAAAGCTCAAGAAACTTTTCAACAAAGATACATGGTAAGTTGTTTCTCATACCATAATAACAACGTTGTTGTCTTCATTTTTAGAAGAATCTTCTTATTCAGAAGCTCTCGTTTCAGGAGTATGAGCCCACGGGGACAACACCGTCTAAGAGTGAACCGGAGGTCCCAACCAAAGCCACTATTGAGTCACTACGAGCAAAGCCGGTGGAGTCATTGGTTGAAGTGTTCCGCGAAAACAACTCTTATGAGTCCTTTGCGGAGAAAGAATCAAAACCGCAACAGCTAACACGGTCGCCTCTCTCACAAGTCAACTAGGGAACCACCTCTGTTCCATTTTATGCTCATTTGGTTTGGTTTTTGAAAGCAGTGTCTGTATAACTATATTATTTGTGTACACATTTGTTTAAGTGTGGGGATCAACAAATCAAAAGAAGAGTCAGATGCTTCTGTAGTTCTGTCTTCTGACACATTGAAATATATGCTTCTTATTCCATTTGTGGCGTTTCTTAGAGCAGTCTATAAGATCTCCGAGAGGGTTTGTTCTAAAGCATCAACAAAATTCGAATATTTGACACTCTATGCTCGTCTAGTTTTTACCACTTGGGTGCTGTTCGTTTGCTCACCCAGGTGATCCATCTGGGTGAAGATGCAAATCAATGTTCGTTTTGTACATTAAAATGCTACATCTACATGGATCACCCAACTGATTTTTTAAAAACTCATCTCAAATTCTCATCCAAATGAGGGTGAGTCTTGATGGTGCATCTGGATGCAGATGCATCTAGTTCAGTCCAAAATCATA